GGCGTCCCAAAGTTATGGGAAATGAAGGGAAAGTACCTTAAATATCGTAGATAGGGTATTTTACTAAAAGAAGACTTTATGTTATTTTTAAAAGTTATTAATTCTGCATTCAAAGATTTTTTAAAAATTACTTGCCTCGTCTGGGAATCGAACTGACTTAAATGTAAAAAAAACACCCCTACTTTTATGATGCCAATCGAAAGAATGGCCAAAAACTAATAACTCTTCTTAAGTAACATAGTATTTTAAAAGAAAGGAACAGCGTGAATATATCTTTTTAATCAAATTAAAAACATTATCTATCGTATTCGGCCTAAAAAAATCCCCTACGAGTCTGTTACTTTAGAAAAGTTATTAGGTTTTGGCCATTCTTTCGATTGGCATCATAAAAGTAGGGGTGTTTTTTTTTTAATTTAAGTCGGTTCGATTTCCAGACGAGGCAAGTAGTTTTAAAAAAATCTTTGAATGCAGAATTACTAACTTTTATAAATAACATAAAGTCTTCTTTTAGTAAAATACCCTATCTGCGATATTTAAGGTACTTTCCCTTCATGTCTCATAACTTTGGGACGCCCTGTATTATATATATTTTTGTTAAAAATATTTTTCCTTTACCTCTCTCTGCTGGTACGATAAGGCTGTAAATATACTTTACAGCCTTATGGTAGTATACTCAGATATGTACAGTTATTAATGACCTTAAGGGACACCTCAAACGTCGTCGAAGTTTTTATCAGCTGTAAAGAATAATCTGGAGTAAAATGTACGGCATCTGGTTTTTTTTGTTTATTTATATTTGTTACATATAAAATAACAATAATCTTTGAAAATATTACTCCCCATATTACTCTAGGAGCATTTGAAAAGTCATCTAAATTTCGGAAATTTCATATATTTTTTATCATAATATTTTTATTTGTTACCATTTATAATGAACGGCTATAATGTACAACGGTAATATTTAGTAACATTATGTAAAAAACAAGTTGCCGTACATTATTCTCTGATCTTACAGCAGTAAGAATTTGGTAAATCCTGAAATTTCGATAAATATTTAATTACACAAATATTAACTATATTATTTGGACGGCATAATTATAAAACATTATTGTCCGTGTTAAATAATATTTTGAACATGTTGCCGTACATTTTACAATGACCTTAGGGTATATGGGTGTAGGGGTAGGGTTCCGACCCTTGGCTTTCGACCGCTCCGCTGGAAATATGTACGGCGTTTACGGGTTAAGTATCTGTATATGTGTCCAAAAGGAATGACACAAATGCCGTACAGTAATAAATGACCTATATTGCTCCTGCAACTGTCGTCGAATTAAAAATTTGCACCGACTTCCGGCACCATCACTTTTGTACGGCACTAGGTTTTTCGACATTTATTTTTAATCATCTATACACTTATAACAAAGCCGTACTTTAATAATTAGTCGAAATTCCCCCATTGTACATGAGAAAGTCCATTCACTCACGTACTCACATGTACCGCTCAGAAATGACGGCATAGTGCTCAGAGCTATTTTCAGATATAGTAACAGCCTTCTAAGCGTAATTCAGGTTGGGTCATTTCACAGGTATTTTTTGTTCATGGGCTTGTGGTCTATAATGTCTACATTGGATATTTAATCGTCTGGACCGTCCTTATTGTAGTATTTTAAGATATTTTATGTATGTATTTAAATTGTCATGTCGTGTCGTTACTTTTGGAGCATTGGGCAGGTACATTCCCTAATTCTTATAATATGGAAATAGAACTCAGCGCAATCGAGTTATGTGCGCCATTCCAGCTACAGTACTGTACAGTGTACACTTTACCACTAAGTCGCGAAGGCGCTAGATTTTCTATAATAGTAATCTGTTGCTATGAATTTTTCTAACTACATATTTGTCATTGGCATTTAATATTAGTTCTTTAATTTATAAATCGTATAGGTTTCCTACTTTTGACATATATTTTGTTATTAATTGCGTACCAAAAAGGTTTGTTCATTAATATTTTGTCACATTATTTACAAAGTGATTTGGAAAGTGGAAAGGACTTTTTAGCCGTATAAAAGCTAAATCAGTGTGATAGTTGAGCATATCTGATCGCGTTTTACGATTTAATATTAACTAATTGAACCCTATATCTCTTTTAAATATTTTAACTTAGAAAACTGTAGTCGTTTTTAATATAATTATAAACGAACATAGCGGCTGTCGACTTGTCAATAAGATGTTTCTAGTACAGCTCGTAGGAAATGTAAAGTCATCTTAGATATCGTTACGTAATAGCATACACCATGAACTTGCGCCATTGAGTGTCGACAATTTAAACCCGATAACTCGATTACGATCGTTATCAATATTATCGATCCATTCGAGATGCGCGCTCTTTTACGACCGATCAGAGAAATTATTATATTAATTTCTTAATAGAGCGGGATGCCTGCTCGTTGCGTGAACCGCGAGGGTTGTCAAAAATAAATTTTGAAATATTTTATTAAGCTTAATCTAAGTTTTAAATATACTTATCAGTGTAGCTAGTAGTATAGTAGTTGCTTGTCAACTCGCCGTGATTGTTATAATTTATATTGTGTGTTTTTGTAATCTTAATTATACTTTTTTATCGCTAATTAAAACGAAAAATTATTCTTACTCTATACCTATACGACATTGTCTGTTTTAACATGTTTTTTTCTGACTTGCAGTAAATAATTACCCTTGTGTAGGTACCCTTTGTACCCATTCATGTATCCGACCTTATTTCGTCTGTGGGTTACAACGAGTTTAGAGTACCTACGCCGAGAATTCGTGCTTGTGATGCACCTAATAAAATTGTTACATGGCAAGGACAGCCGGTTGGCAGTACTACAGCTTCAATGTTCCTGATCGGTAGTCCTAGCTCCCCAGTCCCCACAGCCACAGTAAGGCCCTTCTAAAAAGGGCACATATGATTCGCTGTATTACCTTAGTCAACAAGTTTATTTCTTGTGTCAAGTTTCTCATTGTTATGCATTCTTGTCGATCTAGAGTCACCTGTTAGGACACGGTTGTGTTTTTTGTAAATTAATTTAAAAAATTGTTCCACGTTAAAAAAGTAGTGTTTTATTCATAACTTGTGGTGCCTCTCCTGACTCAACTGACAGTAATCCTCTAAAACCTCACCAAGCTTATTGCTAATCTTAACAATTGTTACACTCGACCTCCGGTGACCCAATTATAAAGAATCTATGATAAAAAGTCTGGAGTGTCTCTAGAGAAGTATAAGATTATTAATTTATTAATGACAACCCTGTATACCTATCGCCTGTAACTTCTAATGACGTGAAAATTTATCAGTAATTGATTATATGTTTCTATAACGAGAGCAAAGTAGTAACGCGTAAACGGAGGTCCATACATTGTAATGCAATTTGCGTTTAAATGTATAAATTATGGTTTAACTGCATATAAAATTTTAAGTATTAGTTTATCGCTACTAATACTGATATATATATTAGATAAAATTAAATTACTAACGTAGTGATTCTCCATTTTGGTACATATAAAACTTGAGGAGCGCTGTGGGATTATTTGAAACTATTATTAATATAGGAACGAATTAATTAAGTCGAATCAATATAAGTTTTTGCTTCAGCTTTTTATAACTTCAGAAGAATTCATTTATTTATGCGTTAATCTCAGCGACAGTAACGAAATATAAATCTTTTAATATTTGATATCGAGGGAGGCTATGAAGAATTAAAGCTATGTCCCATAGCTAGTGAGAAATTGAAGTTGTTGCGTTGTATATAAAATAAAAATACGGGTAGTATTTCATAATTAAGTATTAATAGCCTTAATGTTTGAGGTGAAGCCTGTTTTGACGAGTATTGCACAGTCAGGGCTGAGAATGTAAAACTATAGACGAAGAAGAAACCGTGCGTTTAGTTGTGACAACGGGCGTAATGTCATGACGCATCACATCGCGTGTTAAAGTGCGGACTAGCTTTTGACCAATCGGAATCCAGGAGATCGCACAGTTTTATCGTTTTTCGTTTTAGATGGTCACCCCCCCCAGCTCTGAATTATCATTATCGGTCAAGCTCTACACGCTTCTGCAACTTTTAGCAGATAATGTCCAAACATAATTCATAATTAATTTATATGATAATAATGAGCAATGTTAGCCTAGCGCCACGTGTCTCTCGTCCTTGAGGTCGTAGTTTCCAACCCCGGCTGTAACCCAATGGACTTTATATATTCTTATTAAACACTCGCTTGTACGGCGGAGGAAAATATCGTGAGTAAACCGTTTTAGGCATGCGCTTTAGACCCAGAAAGTCGACATCTGTTAGGAACAGAAGGCTGATCACTCAATTGCCTATTAGAAATAAACGATCACGAAACAAATATAGAAATCTAAGACCAAGATCAATGGTTGTAGCGCCATGGCTTTTTAAATACAAATATGTAAATTTAAAGTACATACAGTTTGACACATACTTTGGTTATTAAGATGATAAATGTACGGTCTCTATGTAGGTGTTGAGTGACGTGTTCTAAATAGTTTTGATATTGATACTCATCAAGAAGTTGGTATTTCTTAGGTAATCTGTGTAAATTACTTACAGCTATACCTATACATGACCGCTACTTTGCGTACAATTACATTTAAATTCATTAAACCCTGTAACGCCGTTTTAAAGCGTGACTGAGAAATGTCTACCTTTCAAGAACTAATTTAAATAAAATCATATTACATAATTACTGCTATAAAGCACATTAAGATATTGTTAATACTAAAAATGTTAAACAATAAATCTTCATTATATTCATTTATTATCTCCTTAAAAATATATAATTTAGACTGCCTTTATTTTTGGTATATGTGACATTAAAATAGATTATGTAATTTATATATAATTTTTCTTATACAATTTTTAGGTTTAAAATAAATTCACAGAGCAGATTTAAAACAAATTTAAAACTTATTTCATCAGTGCTATTAAATCCTTTACTTGAAAATGAGAATACAATTCGTTCCATACATCACTTGTTTATCTAAATACCATACTTGTACGCTGACAGAGTGCTTAGAAGAAGCGGCGCCTGCGCAGACGCCGGTTAATTGCGACGAAAGTGCATATTCTGTACTTGGAGCTAACTACTCGTTCCAGACCGTAACGAAACGAATGCCTTGTTGAACACTGTTAATAACTGGAAACATTTAGTTAGTCTAGACTTTAGAATCTAGATTTTCTCGCATCTTGTTTTATGACCTTAGGCGGAACAAATCGACTTAAGTACAAGTGGTTTAATATTAGTAGCTGTATTTTAATTTAAAGTACCTACTCATATTTTTTTTAATTCTATGTTCTCAAAAATCACACATGTTGAAATGAGGGCAATCAAATACTTATGCAAATTTGTTAGAATAAGGATATACCCGTGTGAAAATGACATGAGAACTTAAGAAGGCGCAGCGCTAACCAGATCCATGCAACTTCCTCACAATCGAATAACCCGAATAAATATCTAAATTTTATTTTTAAGAGATCTTTCGAGTCCATACCACGAAGATAAGTACTGAACGATTCAAGAGCGATTTGATCAATTTTTTTCTAAATAAACGAAAATATAATACAACAAACAAACACATATACGACGCAAGACATTAACGCATAAGTATTAAAAAAAATTTACTATGTATATGGACCACGATTAAAAGCCTCCTCCAAGGCAAGATAAAAGTATAAGTAAAATTATAACAAATATAGAATCTAATTTTAAAACTATCAAACAGTTAACAGTTGACATTTTTGTACTAAAACGATCGTTACTTTAGATATGTGTATAGGGACCGTAAATTTAGACGGAATGCGCTCATACTAAAATAATTCACTTGGAGCTATTTCTTGGACAGGCTGATGATTCCTATCCACAATTTAGTGCAAACACGTCAAGAAGCGAGCAATTATTGTGATAAATGTTTGCGCTGTTATGAGATGTTTATCGCATGTTTGTCGAAATTACGAAATCGACCTATGGCAATACATTCCAGTCTTTATGATTCCTTCTAACTCTTTCGTCTCATTGCTTCATAGTTGATTTGTTTTTAAGTCGTTAGGAAATAATATAAAGTGTGGTATTGAATCTCATAAATAATCATAATAAGAAGCACACAACACAACATTTATTCATTACAGAAATATGTTAAAGGACTGTTTGTTAATTTTATCGATTTTACACCAGGTTAAACTTGACTTTCACTATTTTCTTTTGCTTAGTTAGAGAGATGAACGAAACCTTTTAAAAAAAGAGCATACTCCTCCCTAAAAGGCCGGCAAGGAAGTCCCTAACATGGGTGTCTATGGACTGCGGTTGCTGTCTTTTATTGTTGTTCCGTACGCTCGTTTGCCCCCCTATTAAACGTAATACGTATTTATTGAAATGACTATGTACTTTCGGCACATCCTTCCATAATTATGCTCTGATGATAGATTTTACATACTATCGGGCCTTTTAGATATCCGGTCTCTTGTAGAGTGCAAAAGCTAAATTGCCTTGTTTGCGAGTTTCTCCTTGATTCATGTTCACATGTAAAATTCTAGCGAACTGAAATAGCAGTGGTGTATAATAAAAGTAAATTATGCGTTGAAATTATTGTTCATTAAGGTGATGATGTGCTCTTGTTTATGCGATTTCCCATTTGGCAAAGCGTTTATTTTACGACGCAAGCGCCGGTTGATCATAAAATTATGCGGTATTACTGTGGGAGATTAATATGTTCCGGAATTAATGTGGATATAATATAGAGATTGATGTCTCTTCCACGTTATTTTTGTATCGCCTTTCAGGCTATATAAGGCTCATGTTAACTGCCTTCGCGGTAGCCAATATTAAGTATATGGACCCATGATTTAGTTAATTACTATGAAACTAATGACTGCAAAATAACAGTCGAAGAGAGTGTCTGCGTCTGGCTATACTCTCGGGGCGTGACTCCGACGATTTAGGAAATCGTCACGCTTATAAGTGATCAAAATGTAAAGCCATGGCACGTACATAGAAAATCATCACGCTTATTAAACTAAGAAAGCCTGAGTGAGCAAAATGTACAGGCTTGACTCGTACACTATGTACACTATTGCACTACGTAAGATAATATATATTTTATTCCTACTAGTGATCGCTAGATATAGGCGTTTATATTATTCCTTCCCGTGTCTAAACTTAGGGATAATATTTTCTGACAGTTATACGTTTATTTTCAGGGGCAAATTTGCGTCAGTCCGAAAGATCCGCCACCTGGTGTCCGGTGTGGAGTACGCCGCCAAATTTATCCGCAAAAGACGGCGCGCCGCCGACACCACACGCGAGATACAGCACGAGGTCGCCGTGCTAGCCCTCTGCTCGGATAGCACACGCGTTGTACGCTTACACGAGGTAAGGGGCAATGTTTTGAAAAACGGGCCTACGCCCTACAGAAATCGTTTTACCATCTCACAACGAGGACAGTAGAAATAACATAAGCACAGAAGCTCGTGTTTTTGTTTCATAGCGATACAATTCTACGGTAATAAATATTCCGACAAAAGCATAGTTAAATTTGAAAAATAATATCTGCTGAGAGCTTTGAATATTTTGAATAGGTTGTTGGTGTAATACATACTTATACACACATAGTCGGAAATATTTAAACGATTAGACCAGTCGTTATTTTCGAGTAAGAACTGTATACTTATCACATAATCCCATTGTAATTTAGCACGTGTTTAGACACGTGTCTGGTAATGTTATGATATAAATAGGACAAGAATGCGACATAACACCCACCCGTATTTAATTACTGATACTAACCGCAAACACGTACAGGCGTAAGCTAAATCAATAACATTCCCACTAATTCGATTGTACATTAAAATTTAAGAACGCAAAGGTTTTACTGTTTAAGATATTTTATATCTCATACAATAATACATTACGCTTATTAATTAGTTGTTTATTACAATAGTAAAAGATAGAACAACAGCAGGCAAGAAACACATTTGTAACCGTTACACAACGCAAAAAAGAAAACAAGATTTCAAGAATTCAAAGAAACAACACACAAATCTATAATTTATTGTCGGTCCTATTCTTCCTAATGTTGTTCCACCTATATTAACTTTTATAGATAACTGCTTAGAAAAATGGACAAGAAAGATAGCCTGGGTCCTCTCGTTTATAATGTTTCCTCTTTTATGACAAATTTTTAAAATTCCAGGTATATGAAACACGTACAGAAGTAGCCATAGTTTTGGAGTTATGTGCGGGTGGTGAACTTCAACGTCTACTGGATGAAGAGGAGCGCCTCACAGAAGGTGCTACCAGAAGAGCCCTCCGCCACGTGCTGGAAGGGCTGGCACACCTCCACGCCCGCCGCGTGGCACACCTGGACCTGAAGCCGCAGAACCTGTTACTCACCGCCGGCGGCGAGGAGCTGGTCATCTGCGACTTTGGTATCAGTCGTGCGATACAACCCGCCGCACATGTCAGGGAGATACTAGGCACGAGGGACTATGTTGGTAAGTGTAGAACAAATAACTAAAATCTCTAGTTGACAAATCAGTACATACTTTCGTCACCAATATATTTTACAGTAACATATCTGCCGAAGAGAGGTATTCAAATAATTGCATTAATAACCGTTAATTCGTTGTTACCTGGGTAGGTCTAATTGGTGTTGAGAATTCAGTTCTAATTTGTATAATAATATATTGAAATAAAAAATCTAGGAATAAAAGAAAAATCATATAAAAAATTCTTAGAACAGCTTATATTATTTCAGCGCCAGAGATCCTGTCATACGAGCCGTTGTCTCTAGCAGCAGACATCTGGTCGGTGGGAGTGTTAGCCTACGTGCTTTTAAGCGGGTATTCCCCTTTTGCGGGCGACACCAAGCAGGAGACCTACCTCAACATCGCACAGTGCCAGTTGTCCTTCCCCAAGGACCTCTTCTGGGGCGTGTCTCAACGCGCCATGCAGTTCATCAAAGAGACGCTAGTAGTTGATCCTATGTAAGTTTAAATGTGGTGAAATGTATCTATATTTATACAAATATTATTTACATTCAAATCAAATCAATCAATAAAAAATCGTATTAATATTTATATAAAAGTCTGTGTTTAGCTTCAAACAGTGTAATAAGCTGTTAATATAATGAATGCCAATATAAGAAATTAACCTCAACATTTTGAACGTTTCAGGGGCCGTCTTACAGTGGAAGAGTGCCTGGAGCACCCCTGGTTGAAAGACGATGCGGACATCCCACGAGTCATAGTCGGGGTAGGCTTCGACGCCGACTCCGAAGTAGGCTCTGAAGCAGACGATGACGGCACAGATAACGGCGACGACGAGACAGTTAACGGCGATGGAAAAGGAGTTAACGGCGTTAATGGCGTCAACGGAGTCAACGGGCATAACGGTGTTAGCAAATGTAATGGTACGACAAATGGAACACATGAAGATAAAGGTGAGCTTTTGCCGTCAATTAAAACAATTTATACGCAATTATATTTATGGTGGAAAATAAATAGAATATTGTTTTAATATAAATAAGGCGATTCAAAAAAAAGGGATTGGAAATAAAAAAATTGCTGAAATCCCCGATTTATTAAATGAGGATAGGATTACAAGTTATACAAAAAAATCTTAATTAAATTCTTAATGTTTACATCCCTTATTTATTCAACATAATTCTTTCAATTAATTAAACGCCAATAATCCCCCGTGGAAAATCGTCATATGTCAACCTTCACTTCCACAGTTGACACATACAGACTATATAAGTACTATACTAAAGGAAATAAAGAAATACCATTTATTTACAAATACATATAAATAAAAAAATATTTAAAAAAAATCATGTGATTATTACCAACATACGATCCTTAGCCATAGTTGGATATAAACTTGACATTTAACCTTATGCTTGGATTCCTAAAAAAATAAATTGGAACTTCAATTGACTGAAAATTTAATTTAATCAAGCTGCCAAATAATTTAATCCTACCTACTGAAGTTGAATTAAATTTAAACTTCTATCAATCTCCTTTCAATACTTTCCCATAAAATGTAGCAATAAAGTAAAGTTTTGGTTTGTTTATGGATAAATTAAAAATAATATATTTGGTTTCAGAGCCAGATCCCCGTGGATCGCCTACTCCACGTGAAGAGGAAGAACGAGCTGCAGCGGTCAAACACGCGAGAGACGACTCACCTTCACCGCCCTTCCCTGACGCGCCTTCCACGCCCAAGGTACGTACACAACGTACGCGCTTACGTATTCGCACGTTGATGGTACATGGACAGAAATGCGTAAAGTATAGAATGTATTGTAAAATATAATTATTTATGTGATAATTGATACTTAGAAGGATTTATTGTGGTGGTTGGTTTGTGATATGTTATTTTATTATTGTAATTATAAACTTGGTATGATATGACATAATTTATACGGACGATCGCTGCGCTTCATGTATCAATAACACTTCAGATGATTATTGTATTTTTGCCTGCAATAAATAGTACATTCTTTAAGAAATATATTATTTTTATAGTAACAATTTCAAAACCAAATCAGGTTGAGAGTTATACTGAAAAATAACAAATTATATAATTAACAATATCGTATATAGTTTAAAATATATCCCCTTTATTCATAAACAAGTTGAATTGTAGAATTTTTAGTGATCCGTCTTTTTTTATCACAGCGTAAACACAATATGACCTAAAAATACGAAAGAGACTTTAGTTACAAAAGTGTGATTAAACTGATTTAGTTTTTGTACAAAATTGCAAATCTATTTTTTAGATTACAATGTTTTACTGTATAGTTTTTCAGCCGCTAATAAAACCACTCGAGTACAGAAAATTCGAACTCATATGCAGGTCTACTTACAGGTGTCGCGCAAATCCCACCCTTCGCCGCCGTCCGTGCTCGCGCTCTGCAAGAAATTCCAGCCGGATTATGAGAAACCGGCAAAGTTATGTCACGCCCGGGGCGAGCTTTGCGGTTGTCCGGCACCCTGCCTGCGTCTGCGCACAGCACAAGACAGAGCTGTACTTTGCTAGCGAGCGCTTTGCTGCCTTTGGCGGCAATAACGACTTTGACGCACTCGCGAACCTTCAAGCTAACCCCTTAAGCATTTCGGTAAAGAAATTTGTTAATAAAGGAGACTGCCTATATCGTCCAATTTCACCAAATTTGTATGTAACATTGCGTATTTTTTGTATTAAATAATCAACTATGTAAATAAAATGTTTTTAACAACTGATTTGGGCACTCTCCTTTATTGGGTTTATAGACAATTTTATAAAAACCTCGTATATCCGAAATTTAGCTTAGGTGTACTAACAATTGTAGTAGCGGGAAGTGAAGTTTGCTGAAGGTTTAGGCTAATACAAACCAGTTAGGTTAGTTTATGAGGATACCTTATGAGGTCCGAGATTTTGTCTTTATTGAACAGATTTCATAAATCTCTTATACATTTGTGAAGTATACATTAATTAATGTAGTGATGTGCCTTTATAAGTACAATTTAGACGGATTTACGCTTTGCCTCTTGAGAAGTGCCAAGATATAAAAATATCCAAAACTGGTGCAGATCTATACTACATCACATTATTTTTAAACTCTTAAGTTCATTTCACGAGAACACCTGTGAAATATTTATATAAAAAAAAAACAACGAATGACAGCGTATTTTCGTGAAATGATTCTTCGGGCACATATAACAACGGCGATTCATTTATAACGCTTTAGATTTTTTTTACTATTTATGGATCACGTACATGTTATATCACAATATAAAATTATAAATTTTTAAAAGTTATCCAAATATTTAAGTGAATCGTCGTTGTATTGTGAGATCGCGAGTGTGAAACGTCGTGTTGTTAAAACGTATTACTTGTTTACAAGCCATCGGCCGTGTAGATATTTTAGGATAAGTCAATTTGTGTATATTTTAGTAGGGACCCGATTACGCGAACTCGAACCGGCGATACGAATATGTTTCTCCAACATTTGCGATGACATCGCTTAGTCTATGGAAGTTTTAAACGTGCTGTTTGAGGGCTTTAGAAGTTTCGAGTTCGTGAAGTAATCGCGTTCCTACATCGACGGTACAAAATGCATAATTATACGCCAGCAAAGTACGGAGCTTGTAAAAATGTGTTCTCACTTAAGCGGGCCGAGAGCGCCAACCGCCGAGTTGTACATAATCGAATATTGCGGTATTAATTTATTTAATAAAGGTGCGACGTCTCGGCGCTAATACTTACTTAGATAATATTGTTATACTTAACGATAGCCGTTTACTGTAGGGTAAGTGTTTGTAGGACGAATCTAGTTACGTGCTCGTTGACCCAAAAATGGGACCAAAATTTTTCGTGTAGTCGCATATTCCATATCGGTGAAGTTTGTAATTATAAAATTTTATCACTGTGAGTGACCGTTCGGGTTGTTATAGATAGGGAATTGTTAAGATGGATTATTATGAGCTCAAATCGTAAGGTTTAGTTTGTGAAACGTGTTAGCTTAATGGAATTATAGTGCCTTCGCGCCGCCGAGTTGATTCCTTTCTTATCTTTTCATTTTTGCCTGTGTTAATTTTCTATTTTGTTTACAATATTTCTTATCGTTTTAATATTTTTTCAGACTTAACTAATTTTTGCCTTTAGAGCTGTTGTGATCCATAAATCATTTGTAAAAATAAATTATTGTGATATAAAAATGTGGTTTCCTTTTTTTCCTGTAACATAACATGTAAACACTGTAAGGAACCGACAGGATCAGTCAAGTATATTATTTTTAACCCACATAAGACAATATAACCTACAAAAATATCTGCGACTCATTCAATTCTAAATCGTCGCTTGACGATACGCATACACAGATTGTTAAAACTAGACTACCAAAAGTTATAGTGCAAGGAATTTTAATCTTCAATTTGTGTAAATCAAATTACTAGTCTTTCTTTTTACTTATACGTACGTACATATTCAATTTAGCCGGAGAGAGTGAGCAAACTAAAATAGTGAACCGATTATAAATAATTTCACTTATAAAAAGTAACAGTGAGATCCCATTAAATTACATTTGTGTTAAATCAATGAAGTTTAGGAAAAATAAAACAAAGAAAGATCTAAAAAAAATATTGTATTTACAGTCTTTTGTACAGAGTACTTATAATAAATACTCCATAAAATTATTTATTGGAGATTACAATATTCAACAAATCCACAAAAAATTTCGAATTCTACCTTAAATTATATCTATATAAACAATAATTGTGAAAAACATTGAATAAGATGATAATTATTACATAGAAAAAAAATGCCAGTTAATTGATTTATCTAACAATATGCACGTAAATGAATCTGTAATAATAAAAAAAATACAATATTTACGAGACAATTTCGTCGATTTCTATGAATGACACAACAATTTTACAATTCACAACCTTTCAAATAATAAGAACAACCTAATTGGGGCATCACGGTTTATTTATATACTTGTTTATCTTACGCCCTGTTTCTATATAATACTAGTCGTTTTTATCGTAAACGATAAAGAAAATTCAAAATATTTTCACAAAAAAAATATCAATTGCAACTGATATGGTATATATCCAGCAAATAAATTGACAACAGTTATTTGATACTGAGAAATACTTACGTTTTTCCTCCACTCGGGAGTCATTTTATGTACCGAGACCATAGATTTATATCGTTAGATAGGCCCTTACTGCAGTGAGACCGCGCCGTGTTGTTCCACAGTCGAAGTGAGTGAGCTCACTAACCTGGGATCAGTGCACCCCTAAATACAGTGTTAGCGGGACGTGTTGTAAAGGACGTTTGCGAGCAGTTTAGTGTCACAAAATGCCATCGTGTGCCTTTCTAAAGTGCAACAACAATTCTAGAAATACAAATAAAGCCAGAGGTGTAACATTTCACTCGTAAGTATTGCGATTTGATTTAAAAACTTTTATTTTACCTTCCGCACTGTCTAAAATTACAAATTTAAATGGCGAGTGCACGAAAGAGAAAGTAGTGTTTGCAACTAATGTAGGAGAAAAAGAGATGACACTATTTTCTCAGTACATAGATAATAACAACAGATAAGTACAATGGCAGAAACACGATTTTTTAACTACTCGTTAGTGTGCGTGTGTCGGCATTTTGTTAACGCACACATTCAAAAACAATGCCACAGTTTTTGGTGTCGGGGCCTATCTAACGATATAAATCTATGACCGTGACATACAATATAATTATTCAGTAACACGTAATTCAAGCATGCTTTATATAACTAAATGATTCTGTTTTCGCATGCATAGTAGGAAATCGAATATCTAATACTTAACCCCAATATTAGATAACCTTTTATAAAACGCCTTAAAATATTCTTATTTAAAATCACAGCAAAGATAGAAATTTCAAAAGTAATCTAAATTTAATATATAATTTATATGCATTATGACTATCATTTCGAACGTAAAAACTTTTTGGATAATACAGTTTATTATGGTATTGAATCCTCAAAACAGTTGAAGCTTCATTAACCAGAAAAAATGGACCATTTGCTTCAGCAGGGTTCTATTAAGTCATGCATTAAAAGTTATATACTACCGTACTACTAAATTATATAATTAGGTTGTGGCTTAATTGCGACGTTCTTAGATATAGTAAGACGACATTGAGTACCGCTGTAATACATAACTAACACACATAAAATTCATTTAAACAAAGCAGCGCAGGAGTTCATTCACAACCGTATGGAAGGATAATACTAGACTTGAAAAATTGAAGGTATTACACGTCGGAAATATCTGCGAACCTCGCTGGAATGCGCTTCCCCGCACCCCGCCCCGTTTTCGCCTATCCAGTACCGTTGCCAACGCAATCGCCGACGCACGTGTATTATTCTTGCTTTCGTAATCGCATTTTAGTGTTTATTGTTTCTCTGTTTGGTGAAATATTACATAAACTACCTATTTAGTGCTGTATGTAAGATGGGTAGGACTATAATATATCAATAAAAATAAGTACACAAATAAAATATTTTTTATTTTTACATCTTCAATTTTTTTGCTATCTCTCCAGTTTGTATGACGTCATTAAGCCAGGTTCGCAGATATTTCCGACGACTTGTATTTTCAAAAACTTATTCCCGTCATCAAAGTTAACTTGAGTTTTAAGGATACGAACGATGTCGAACCAAAAAATACACCTTGAAGTGTGAATTTGGAATACGGGATTTTCAATGGCTATTTTTTTCAGTTTACCCTCAGTGTTACGTGTGTCCATTGAGTAAAGGTGTTTTTTGTTTCAGTTCGTTCAACTGATCCGCGTATTCCGTGTACAGCCTCTGCCAGCGCAGTTGCCTCACGAGAAGTGCTAATAATTCTTCTAATAACTCATGCTTTTTGATTCCCTGGAAAAGTCATTAAAAACTTATGATGTTGTTATGGCTTTCAAAAACTTCGTAAAATTATACTTGACTTTGATTTGACGTTAAAATGAGATTTAAATACTTTTTAAAATTAATTTTAGATTTTTTTAAATATATTTTATATTTATTTTGAAAACAAGATAAAATAACTTATGCAAACTGTATAATATGTGGATTAAAACTATCTCCAAATAGACCCCTATCAAATCCTAATGGAAATATGTCGAGTTACGAATAAGACAGGTACTATTTATTTATTACGGTAAAAAAACTCAAAGGATGATCGACTATGTAGTTATAGATAGATAGATGTATAAAACTAAAAATTATAATTTGATACAAACCAATATATTAGAATCCCACTTGGAAGGCTGCGAAATACAATGACTAGGTCCCAAAAGATCATCTAAAATGGTTCTAAGTTGATCTTCAGTGCCTGAAACGTCATAGTGTGTCTCATACGTAACTCTATATGAGTTACGTACGTACAGTACGTCCTCATAGTACGTACTTTAAGTAACTAAGAAGAAGCCACTTGTAATTTTATATTATTTGGTTCAATGCTTTAAATTTAAAAAATAGTAAAACTTATTGGAATTGATCAACAAACTATGTTTTTGTAATATTATCGATTTTATTTAATGTTTTGTAAATAAGAATGAAAAGATTTTAAAACCATAATTTATATTTATCTACGTAAAACTTGCGGCATAAAAACAGAAAATATTATAACAATTCTTCAATTCTATCCGGTATTGCCATTACAGCGAAGGATACAGAACATTCTAGAAAATAGTTTACCATGAGCTATTAGATGCGTAAACAGTGCGTTGATCCAGTGGCGATAGTCCCTCGCCAAACGAAGGTGCAAACACACAGACACCTGTGACTCTAACCAGCTACGAGCAGCGCACGCGTTGTATTTACTGAAACAAATCATGATTGCTATTTTATGTCTAAAACGTTTATTAAGAATCACCATAAAATAAAAAAAATACATTATCTTTCTCCCCTCAAATGGCACAAAGAAAATATCTTGAAATTTACCTAAATCTAATACGTTTTAGACGATTCTAGTTTAGTACTGCAATCGTTCTTACAACTAAATGATCTAATTTACTGTATAAAAATAAATTATTATTAAGAGTAATCTGTTTAAAACAGGAATTTAAAAACGTTATGGAATTAAAAATAATAATTAAACTATCTGAAATGTTTTTTAAAATGTTGCCAAATAAAATGGCTAGTCTTACGAAATCAGGTAAAAAAACAAATAAAAACATAATGTGTGTTTATGATATGTTGTCTATAAATTAAATTACTATGGTTTAATTTAAGTTAGACCATCACATAAATATATAACAACAGTGATTGTTATTGAAAGTAGTATTTCATTTTTTTATATACGTGATTTAGCTTTTTATACTTACCCCTGTGTTGCAGAATGTTGCAATTGAGAGGAAACTCGTGGTCTTCTGCTACTTCCGGCTCCACCTCCCGCACGTCTCACCGGATCACCCCCATCTGTCCATAATACCCTGGAAATAATTAATTAACTCATTTGAACGTCACAAATTAAAATCCGTAACATAGTAATTTAAACAGAAGAGAAATCATTCCCAATTATTTTGTCGGTTTTATTTAAACATTAATCGAAAATCGTTTAATTATTTTTACCGGTGATCCAACACAGCTGTGGGTACCTGCATGTGGCACCACGATGTATTATATACATATGTAATATTATCAAACTGTTTAATCTCTTTTTCAGATAATATAAAACACTGCCGTGTAATTCTTTAAAAAGGAACGTGATTAGAGTATTAAAAGAAAGGTGCCTTTATGAGAGAGTTTTTAGATCATAAATTTTGACAACAATAATTATAAATATCGTTACTGTTATTAACATGACATTTGCATGCCTATTTTTACTATTGCTAATTGCTATTTGTGGCTTTTTTTATAATAATCAATCTGAATGTTCCACTTTCTTCGCAAATAAACGATTTATTTATTTAAACTAGTTACATTAGAGCTGCAATGAAAACCATAAATAATTGCAAAAATTTAACAGTTATGGTTATAATCATTCAAATAAAATAGCAAACTGAAAATGTCTACTCACCAAGCCCACAATTTCTTGCAGTAAATATAACTTTTGCCAGTATTCAATGATATCATGGGGTTTCCGTCCACCAACGTACAATTTGTGACGGTAGCTGGAAAATAATCAAACGTACGTTTGTGAAATTGAAAAAAAGTCATTTTCCTCTATGGCGCCGAATTATGTACCATAGATATGATAGTCGCCGCCCCCCCCCTTTCACGGACGTCAAGGTGATACGGATGGTAACACCGGATGGTGTCCTATTCGTAATCATTCATGTCCGTGGTTACTTTAGAATTAATTTTAATTGAACTCTGGATTATTTTGGTTTTTAATAAAGAACTTTGGATTATTATAAGAATGTTTACAAACACACGAATAAGGAGCTTTCAAACCGTTTTTCTGTTCGAAGTCACATGTTTGACTGAGATTGTGATTTGAAATACGAATTACAATATATGCTTAAACTTCAAATCTAAAATTATTCCATAATATACTTATATATGTATGTATGTATACACCAAACAACTTCAGTGTATAGACAATATATATCGCTTAAGAAAATTCTTAGTATTTAGGAAACTATAATAATACTTTTAAATTCGTTAATTATAAAATTCATACCATTATTTGAAAGTAAATTCCTGAAAGACAGCGACCGAAGGGAACAGGTTGCATTGTTAAGGTCCCACATGGTCAATTCCGCTGATGACGTCACCACTGATAGGGTGTCCCCGTTTAAGGACAATTTGTGCGCCGGAGATGGTAAAGCTGGAACAATATTTAAAATAGCAGAGGACTCTAGTGATATTGTCAACCCTGGTCGTGCGTTAGAATCTTGACTGTTGCAAAAAAATTACTATGGAAATAACACTTGGGTAAACGAACAGAAAACCATATCTGTCATAATAGTAACAACACATTTTTGGTTTTAAAACTTGCCCTGTGGGCGAATTTGGAACTAAATAACTAAACAGTAAAAATTGTATGGAAAATCTATTATTTCAATAGTGTTTGTTTCCCCATTAAACTGAAACTAAAAGTCCATAGTACATGTACTACATAAGCTTAATAATAGTATTTACCGAGTGGGGGCAAAGCCCTGTAGGGCTTCGGTTTGGCGTTTCTCCACACGTGTAACGATCCATCCGTACAAGATACGCACAACCAACGGGCGTCGCACGATATACACGATACGGGTGAGCCTGTAATATAAAAAAAACAGGGGTCAGGATATTATTACTTCCTTATTTTTATCATAATATAAAATATAGCCAACATCTAACATAAAATTACAATTCTAAACGAAAAAAAAGAAATGTTTTGCTTAAATATTGAAATATAATCTTAATAATGGTGTGTATGTGTTTAAAGTATGACATACTAATGTTTTATTGTATATATAATTTATACAATTTCCTTTTAACAGATAAATATAATGGATAATTCATAATAATTATATTATGCAATTAGGAAGGATATTCGAACGAAAAATTTATTTCCAAACAAAAAATGTTACCTATAACCGAGAAATTATTTAATATCATTAATGAATACTCAATTGAACTATTTAATTGAAATGACTATTCAGTGAACAGAGTTAGCCTAGTGCATCGTATCTCTAGCGGGGGGTCGCGACCCTTGGGGGGGGTCGAGTTTGTTTTAAAAGGGGGTTGCAGTCTGTTAAAAAATAATAAATATATAAATAATACAAAATATTATTTTATTAAAGGAATTAATAATTATAGTGTTATAATTATGTTATAAAAATAAATTAAAATTTTACAGTGACGGGGTCGCAAGGCTGTTTTACTTAACTTTTTAGCCTTTTCGTGGGTCACGAAAAAGAGAGAAAGAAAGAGAGAAACTCGGCATCACCAGCCATCTCGCATCGCAACATGCAACAAGAAATGGGTGCATCTGAAATCCATTTAGGATTGTAACACTAATTTTATGACAATTAAATGCCTTACCTAAACAAGCATCCCAAACTGGATCGTTTGATGCAGTATTGTTTGGTATCAACTCAAGCCGAGACAATTTGCCATATGGAGTGTTGTATGCTTTATTCACCACCTGTAATCAAATAGTAATTAGTCGTTCATTTATGTTTTAAGCTTTTCTTTAATCCTTTTTTGAGAAATCTGTATCTCTGCCATAGAGTAGAAACTACAGAAAATATAGGTAATCAAAAACAACAGGTTTTTTAAGTCTTAATACTAAATCTTCTTTTTTGAGCATGTAATCATCATCTCTTCTGCCTCGTACATTTTATTTTTATTTTTTTATATAAATTTCAATCCCCCCCCTTTTTTTTTTCTGGCCCTTTTTTTTTTATTTTTTTTTTAAAAAAAAAAAAAAAAATTTAAAAATTTTCCTAATTTAAAAAAAAAAAAAAAAAAAAATACTGCCCCGTAATTAACTACTTATTTATATTAATTGTGACCTAAGATTAGCTTTTTATTATTATTTTTTTGATTTAAGTTAGTATATTTTAGTGTTACATATAATTTTATGTATTTTTATTTATTATCTATGGACTTCATGTAAAAAAGGGTCTTAACCCTCAGTACCTTTTTTTATTTTTCCATACTAAGGTTGCCTGGAAGAAATCGCTTGTAAGCGATAAGGCCGCCTATTGCGTAAAAACTTATCGGACCTGCTTTTTTATATGTATGTTTAGGTAACGAAGTGTCGATAAATAAATAAAATTATTCCCTGCTTACATTCCTAAATAAAAACTGTATTTACCAAAATTTAAATATATTACTATTAATGCATCTTTTTTGTCTATTAAGTATTAATATTTTTTTGAAGCCCATTAATACACATTAGAACTATATTAGAATACGCAAAACATTCAATACAAAGCAAATATGTATAAAATACTAAAACATTAGAAAAAAAAATAATATTTAATATTAGATTCGATTAAAATAACTTACTTGTAATCTCAACAACCCAGCGGCTCTCACAATTGGCCCAGCCGTCCCCAAAGCTGGGACGGGCAGGGACGGTCCCAAGTATACCCCGCGGGACGAAACCTGCTCCGTTGGAGACGTGCACGATCTCTTGGCTTGGAGATCTTCAGCTTTGGGTCCTGGGAGGGTCGATGTTGTACGCTTTCGGAGACGTTGGTCTAATGCGCTAGTAAACATTCGAATATTGAAAGTTCAAGCGTAGCTAACTTGTTTTTAATATTATAAATAAACTAAGGATACAAAATTACCAACACACCACGGTAAAAATTCCATTATTTAAAACTAAACTGTTTTTTTTTACAAAATGAAGCATGTGGATAAATATTATATATATAAATACATAATGAAAAGAGGCGGCGTGCGCCAACATGCGCCACTAACTTCATTCTGTTAATTTTGTGTCACGGTGCGCGCACATCGTAAAATTTCACTCTCATCAATTTTTCATAACGCGTCTTAAGAAGTATAACTTCAAAAACTAAAATGTTGACTATAGCTAACTTCAGGGTGTCGGTTTTTTGTGACGGTGTGCGCGCGCATCATTAGTCCCTAACGCGCCAAATGAAGTATAACTTCAAAAAATCAATACATACTTATCATTACTTCTGCTGAGTGCGTGGTTACTGACATTTGGATGTATGATGATGTCATCTCTCCTCTCTACTATGATGCGTGACTTGCTTTGCGACGATGTACTGAAGCAGTTTTCATTTCCACCAGGTATTGAACCAAGTGACTCACTGGAATATGCAAAATAGGAATTAAGTTTGGTTATTTTAATAAGGTAGGTATTAAAGTAACCATAAGCCATAGAAAAGTTTGTCAAAAGCAAATTCAAAATTACACGTGGAATTGATAACCACCCACTCCGGCTTTTTTAAGTCGGTTAACAATTAAGAAGAGAATCAACTATTAAAAAGCTGAAATGCAAGTGGACTGGGCAAATTTTAAGAGAAAGAGAAATGGTACAAATACAACGGAATGCTGTCCAGGTTACGAAAGGCGTAATAAAGTACGACAATAACGCGCAATGAAAGCGAATAGAGAACAGTGGGGGAACCTAAAGTGGGGGTGCTAAATATAATTTCATAACAAGAGCTAACATTGTAAATACTCTATTATACAGTGATAAAAAGCTTCATTGTTATTATTATAATAAACAATTAATTTACTTTTCAGTTATCGTTATCAAGAATACTGTATAAAATATAATTATATAAATCTATCTCGCTCTAACTCACTTGGCGTCCGCGTGTGTGAGCGGGATGAAGACAGGTGTGATGCGTCGTTTGCCATCCGATGTGCGCGTCTCTATCTGCCGGTCCATTGGACGTAGAGGCGCCGGACTCGATTGGGTGGACATCGGGGAAGGTGTGTATATTGGTTTTTGCTAAAACAGATTAATCCACCACACAATTATTATTACCGGTTGGGCACAGAACGAAGATAAGCTACTCCAAAGGCACTTCGAGGCACATATGAGGCGAATAATAATACCACTCCCTTTTTCCACCTACGAGGTGATTTTACCGCTATGTGTGACGACACGGGCGCGGTGGGTGAAGCCTGCAGGCAGGCGCAACGCAACTCACGGTCAGTGCGAAATTAACTATCATTATTTTAATAACAAACAAAAAAATTAACGTGGAAGCAGTGTTGTGTGTGTTTCACTTCAAATAGCGTTCAAGTATTACGTCACGCAATTTTTGGAGATAACCTCCCCCATGTACGCGCCGTAACGTTTTTCTGTACCCAAGTGTTAAATGTTTCGTGACCACCTAGTGACTCTTTATACCTAAAAGTTACCATCGTAACGTTTTACAAAAGGAAACCCCCCCCCCAAATTCGTTACGTAATACTTGAACGCTCCCTTACGTCAACGGTAATTATTTACTTTTGTACACATATTACCCACACATTGTCTATGCTTGAAAACGAAATACATTTTCGAGGATTCCTACAATAAATTAATAAGTTTATGTACTATTATTTTTGAGAGCTTTGCTTACTTTGCTGACAAGAGGAAGAGGTGAGGGGGATAAATTGCAGTTAATCTGCTTGAACGGCCCGCTAAAAGTAAATTTAGAAATGTACTATATAATACTATTTAACATATAGAGGGTCAAAACATTGACATTTTAATTAAAATCTCTTGTTAATTTAATTCAATCTGTACCTGTGATTTATCATTCTTAGGAGTAGTTTCCTCTTTAGGGGTTTCCTTTTTGGCCTCTTGCTTCTCCCGAGCGAGTAGAATTTCTGGACACTCAACCAAAAGATTGGAAGACAGGTCACCCCAGACTCATTTGCTGGGCATTTTCCGTAAATTTTCTCATATAGGGAATTCTGAAATATTAGTTTTTCTTTTACTACAAAATAATCAATTTATATTTATTTGAATATTACAGCTATTTACTAATTCAAAAAATAGTTTGTTATTTTTAAACTATTATTTAATGAATCTCATTGTTTTATTATTTTTATTAGATACCAATAATACAAAAATATAATAAAAGCTACCAATTATACAAAATGCATATTAATATTATTTATACATATATAGGCAAAGATGCATGTATGAAAACAGTTAACAAAAAAGAAAGAAAAAAACTTAGGGAACAGTCTAAGTTTCATCAAAATTCCTAATAGGTTTTCATATATTTGAAGTCTGTTTAATTATTTTAAATAACTTTTCGAAGCATTATAATTATTTAGTAAAATATTTCCCATACAAACCTTTTCTTCAAGTGTTAGTGGGGTACCAATTTCCTTATTTGTAAACTGTATGCACGCGACAGTACCATCGGAACTGCACGCCAGCAAATTTAAACCTAAAAAATATTTCTTTATTACTTTCTATTGAGAAATAGTCTACAAACAAACCAATGTAATTGTTTCGTGGTATAATCAATAAAGACTTTTCCAAATTAAAAAACCAACCAGCCATAGGTAAAAAGGCCGGCAACGTACTCGACGAACCCGAGAGATTGTCCATGGTGGTAGGTCGGTATCACTTAACATCAAGTTAAAACCACTTTAAAATATTAATTTGAGAACTGTCATTAAATGTAAAATTAGAAGCATTATTTTTCTCGTATATATAGGATTGATAGACGAGATAGATAACACTTAAGTCAAAAGTCAAAAATAATTTAATCATATAGGTAACATAATGTACACTTATGAATCGTCAATAAAGAAATACATATTAATGCTTCTAATTTTACATTTACTGCCAGTTCTCAAATCAAGGGCGTAGAACGGAAGAAAAGAACTGGCAATAAACTCTCCGCAACTCTTTTTAATAGCCATGTTTTTTTTTACACAACGATTGTAAAGCAGCAGTTTCTACAGTTCGCAAGAAAATAATAATAATACTATTTATATTGAAATAATTTGATACCACATGGAACACGGTTTGTTCCCACTTTACATTACAACAATCGTGGATGTTGACGATCGCCCCAGAGTCAGGAAATGCAGCCGAGAGATTCAGTCGCGTTACCTATTTATACTGGAGGAATTCATATCCAAGCACTAGAATCGTTTAAATATTCATTTATATTATAATAGGCCTTAGCAAGCAGTTTTACTTTAATGTACAATTTAAATTTATTTATTGACAACACTTGAATCTCACTAGGGATTTTGTTGAAAAAACGTATACAATTGCCTTGTAAAGAATTACTCGTTTTATGCAGTCTTCTGGTTGGTGCGCTAATTTTGTCTTTATTACGAGTACTATAATTATGGACTCATAAATGTATTGACTTGCCAGAGTCAAAATATATAATTCCTTAAATTTCCTTCGGACCGACTCCCGTGGGGACAACCCACAGATCGCTCTTATAGCCCGCTTTTGCACTACAAATATCGATTCAATATCAGCTGCATTACCCGAAGTAGTCTCTTCAAATGCAGAGGCTACTTCGAGGTCGGAACTAATTACTTACCATCAGAACTCCAGGAAAGATCAAGCACACTGTCCGTGAATAGATCGTGAACAACAACCAATGGCCGCTTTAGAGACGTGAGCCAAATTGACAAAGCCCTATCACGTGACCCCACCGCCGCACAACAACACTTCTTGCCCTCTTTCACGAATATATTGCTGTTGAAACGCTAAAAAGAACAAAAAATTATTTTACAGAATAGTCCAATCGTAAACGTAATGGTGCAAAAAAAACCAGTGGCCCTTCAATCTCTGGGTCTTAATCGAAATATTTAACTGTTTCGTGAAAAATTTATTTTCCTACTTCTACAATTTTTTGATCTAAGACAGTCAGTGATTTCCTCACGACGTTAATGTGCTGTGTGCGGTGTGCTTTGGTCACTGGGGTTAGAGGCGCACTCAAGTTACTAGGCCAACACTAACTTTGATCTAAGTTTAGTTTAGCATTAAGACCGCACATTTTACTTTGATTTTAACGAATTCATAAAGGTGGTAATCAGATTGACCAGCAGTAAAATTGAAATTATATATTTGTGTATGTTAATCTTTCTTTCTCGACGCTTTCAAGCATGAGCTTGATTTAAATAAGGCAAGTGGTTAAGGAACAGTTAAAGTTTAAAAAAACGGTTTCTTACAGAAAGTGTCGGTGACTTGTATAGGTAGGTAATTATATTTTCTTTTCAGTACTTTTATTATAAAATATTGTGTTTATGTGTGGAGTTAATATGATTAGAATAGTAGACAAAATAACATACAGCACATGTAACAGCTTTCCGGTGTCCAACAAAGTCCTTATCACATCGCCAGCCCTCTCTCTCAACCACTTGAGCAGTCGGTCCACCTCCATTCATAGCGTGTGCTGATAACACATACTGACCATCTGGTGACCATGATAGTCTAAGCACATGGGTTGTACCTGTAAATCATATGAGCTTTTGCATACATTACGTAGTGGGAGCACCCAGTTTGTAAAAACGGTTCTCAAGCTGATAAGTGTGTAGAAACCCTGGAAATAACTATTGAGAAATAATAGATGTAACTATGATATTCTAGGAACCTTTATTTTTTTAAATCTGTGCCTTATAATCCATATATATCTCAATATACACTAATTCTTTATAATAATAGTTTACAAAACAACAAGTGAGCCTTCTGCTCTTTTCTTTCCTGTTTTACAATGAATAAGTTCTTATGTAAAAAGTTATAAAAATCTAATTATTTAATAGTTACCTCCACACTCATCAAATGGTTCAGTAATTACAGTTTCTTGAGACCAATCAACTGTTTTCCAAACACGCAGCGATTTGTCATCTGACTGTGATGCCAAATATTTTCCCACCTGCCCAAAAAGTGTCATATAGTAATATATAATCTAGAAACTATAACTATATAATCTATAGCTCATCTTAATATATATATTTCTTCTGTGCGTGTGTATGTGACTGAACTCCTCTCAAACGACTGGACCGATTTTGATGAAATTTTTTGTGTGTGTTCAAGGGGATCTGGGAATGGTTTAGATTCACAAATCAGCCCGGCAGTGGCGCCGGTACTTTCATACTTTGCTTAATATCCTAATCGCTTTGAATATCATGCAGGACAACGTCTGTGGGGTCCACTAGTAATTTTGTATATTATTAAGTAAGAAATTAACTAATTAATCAGCAATAGATTTAAAAATAATTCCCCTTTAAACTATCTCAATTTCTTGGATGATAATACGTACCAATTTTAGGCATTTTGTTATCGCATACATTTTCACCTAACCATAATTCTTTAAAAATCATGTATGTTAAAAAAATAAAAAATTGCACTAATGTAAGATAAAAGTATTTGATTAACAAAAACCCTAAAGTTAATATATTAACAAACAGCTTGTCTTGCAATATGTAGGAATTTTATTTCTCAACTTACAGGGTCCCAGGCAACTCCTTTCACAAGTCCAGTGTGACCAGTTAGAACACAGACCATTTCTGGAAATTTTTCAGCATTCCATATGATTATAGTGTTATCAACACTGCAACTAGCAAGCCATTTGTCTAATGGTGACCATGCCAGATCTAATATATCACCTGAAATATATTGAATCACTGTAAATAAATAAGTCTTACTAGAAATTAGGATATAGAAATATAGTCAAAACCGTTTACGACAACATATTGGTTATATTGACCAAAATCAAAGGTCCCGGCTGTATGTATTATGTACTGAATATATATATATATACATACTTCTATGTATTAGGTACTTAATAACTATGTCATCAGCTGTTACGACTATCAGTTTTTAACTTCCAAATATAAGTAGTCCCTTCGATGTAGTTTTAACAGATTATGACTGTAATGTCAAAGTATTGTTGTTTCATGACATTCTAGTTGGGATAGAGTTTTACAATTTTCAAAATAGCATAGTAACAATATATATATATATCATAAAATGTTTCAGGTAGTTTGAAATATTTGTAATTTCACACCTGCATGTCCTCTCAATGTTGCTAAACATCTCCAAGTCTCTGCTTTATGCTTTCCAGCTCCTACAGCAACACTGAGTCCCCATACCATGATAAGTCTATCATCTCCACCTGATGCTAAGTATCTACCACCATTACTCCATCGTACACAGTTAACACAGGCTGAAAAAAAATCATATAATTTATTGCATACATCAAATGATACAGAAGGAGTTTAGATCAGACCATATTAATACATATACATCTATTTTACCAGTGTTCAATTAGATGACACGTCTAGACTATATAAGCCAAAGGAATTTGAGTTCTCTGGGATCTACATTTTAGATCAGCTAATAAACCATGAATATGGTAGTGATTTATTTCTGCATAACTTTTTTCAGTAAGGTATACTTATATACTTTTCTAGAAACCAACCTAAATGATTATCCATTTGACAAAGCATTTTAGGAACATTAGGATCCACTTCTACTTCTTCAAACAACACTGAATTCAAGTTCCACACGACAACCCGGCCTGAATCAAGACCCTGACCCCCTGTGGCAAATCGCTTCCCCGCTGGATGAATATCCACAGAAAATATTGGTTTGTCTGAAATTTATGTTAAAAATATGTCTTTATTCGAGAAAATGTTCACTAAACTTAGGAGACGATATATAAAAATAATTTAAAATAAATAATGTGTAAAATTCGTACCATCATGATTGACCCAAATAGGTTTCAAAAGCTTCATTGAAATATGTTTTATTTTTATAGTAAGGTAGTTAATATTTTATATATCAAGTTCTAGATTATTGCCGCAAATTCTCAGGTAAACACTAAACAGTGCGAATCACCTAAGAATTCACGACACAGATACACATTTAACGAATGACAGCTGACACTGAAAACTTTTTTTTTAAATGTAATAGGAGACAAACGGGCAGGAGGCTCATCTGATGGTAAGTGATACCGTCGCCCATGGACACTCACATAGCCAGAAGGCTCGCAAGTGCGTTGCCAGCCTTTTAAGAATCGGTATACTCTTTTCTTGAAGGACACTAAGTCGAATTGGTTCGGAAATACTTCAGTGGACAGCTGGTTCCACGACGTCGAAGTGATACGGATGGAATCTTGTATGTTGCCTTGGATCTTGTATTTTTACTTGGTATTAGACCGAACAACTCCTCTGAACACTCTTCATGGTAAATGCGGTAGAAGATGCAGAGGGACCCCACATCACTACGCAACGCCAAGCGATCAATCCGCACGGGAGGTGACTCTTGACTGTTCGTCGACGATACAAATCGCTCTTGGTTGAATATGGTCAAGCCGAAGGAGTTGGCACTGGGGATCTCCCGCCTAGAGGTAAGAACAGTACCCCATGAGGGGCTGAATTTGCACTTAATTGAGTTGCAAGCAGTGGCCCGAAGTGAAGTACCGTCTAGCCTTGCCGAGCACACCAAGCTTTTTGGAGGCTAATTTAGCCTTCCCTTCCAAATTACCGCGAAACTGAACGTCATTCGATATGTCAACGCCCAGTATTGGGATGCTAGCTGAGGCTTTAAGGAGAGTGTCTTCAAAGAGAGGAGTAACGACGAAGAGAGTTTATTTTAACGTAAAATGCTACGATTAATGTAAACGATTTAATCTACCCCAGTCCGAGACTCCACGTAGAAGAGTTTCGACTTCAGACACAAGTTTGTTCCGGTACTCATCGACAACAGCCCGAGAAATACCTGCCCGGCCAGTTTAAAAAGTATCCCCACTGCTGTCGTCCACATAGCAATAAATGTTGCTAAGTCACAACATATCATTGATATGCAGAATAAACAGGGTCAGGGATATGACAGCCTTGTTTAAGGTCGAAACATGCACCGTGGATGACGATCCTGATGCTCCGATCAGCTAGCAAGCTGGAGATTCAGTCGCATAATTTCTCGGGAAGCCCGTAGGCTGGAAGCTTCGAGAGCAGTGCTCTGGGTCACACCAGATGGACTCAATTTCCAAATACATGAAAGTCAAAAGCCGAACGACCACGACGACAGCCATACTCATAATCGCTAATCAGCTGGTGGCCCTCTAGATACCTCAAGAGTTGGCCACTAATAATGGATTTCATCATTTTGGAGAACGAGGTTATAGTATATAGTTATAGGAGAACAAGAGGGATAAGAGCGATCGCCTTTTTTAGGGATCAGATGTATCGAAGCTGTCTTCCAGCACTTCAGGACAGTGCCGACTGCCGAGCGAGTACAGGTACCGGAAAAGGCGCGTTTGGACCGGAGCCAACTCAGGAACACAAGTACGCAGCACAATTGTGAGATACCATCCGGCCCGCTCGACTGTCCAAGGAAGATAGTGCTTTGCGGAACAGCACGCTGCCAGAATATTATTTCCGGCATCGATGAATCACACCCCGAAACAGTCAATGGTGACCTCTTGATCGTGATCTCTTGGTCATGCAAAGTCGAGTTGGATGCGAAGAGACAGCCTAACAGGTCGGCCGTCTTCTTCGCGGTCTGGGCTAGCGAGTCATTCTCCCTGTGCAGTGGTGGAATGGGCGACTAACATATATAAATAATGTTAGATTTCAGTGTAAGTTGGGTAATAAAAATGACCGTTGTGACTCCTCATTTCCTTCGACCTACAGGGAGGAGCCTTGACTAGTATAACAGCTGACTGACCGGCCTTAAGTCCCCAGTGGCTAAGGTCGGAATAACTTTGTTTGCGGGTCAGGGTATAACGTCATCTTAGTGATATAATGAAATAAACAAGGATTTTTTAAAGTATTTTGGACAGGTGAAAATAAAAAAAACAAATTATAGCCAAATCCAAATTATTTAACTGTTCTATGGTAAAAATACTACTAATTATATAAACTAAAAACATCTACTACTATGTAGCAGATATTTTGTAATGTTGACCTAGTGGCTTCTGCTTACGACTCTAAATCCTAATGTCGCGCGTCGTGCGTTAAGTCCCAGCATTAGCATTAAAATAAAGAGATCAAACCAACAAATACAGACTGAGGCCAACCCGTATCGGGTTACACCTACCAAAAAAGGTATGGTGCGTTTTCCAATTACAGAGCATTTTGCGACTCAGTGCCGCACAATGCCGCATAATTCTGAAGCTTAATTGGAACGTGAATTAGTTTTCAAATGCATCAGAAGAGTGCGCTAAGTCAGTGTTGTAAAAAAAATGTTATGAATTGAGTTAGCAACCTCATTAATGTATAAATAATGTGGTAAACAATAATATTTGGTTGAAAACTTTTTACGCTTATTTTAATCATCAAATTATTTCATTAACATTTTTTTTATTGAAATAATAGAAAACCTTTAGAAGAATATAAGGTTTTAACAAGCTAAATTAACAGTAAAATATTTAGTTTCATGTAAGAAGTTTACATCATTTACGTTTTAAGTAATATTTTTTAATGATTTCTAAAAAAATTAAATACTTTTCAAAACCATTGCAATTTTTTCTAAAGTATAATCCTGTAAAATAAATTTGTTTACAGATCCGAATTTTAAAATAAAATTGTATTCATATTTTAAATGTGGAATATAAGAAGAAGAACTATTTATCATCCATACTAATATTTTTTTTTTACCAGTTTGAAATAACTTTAATTATTTTCAAAATCTACGACGAAACGAAAGCCTTACAAATTTTTCAACAATAAATAATATTTACTAACGAAAATTTCGATAAATGCCAACTTAAAGAAAAATACTGGTCAATTTTCTGTCACTGTGTTGGTATTGTTTGCGAGAAGCTCGCGAGAGCATTCGTTTTGAGAGTGCTCAATTGTGCGAAGCGTTGCTGTAGTTGGAACACTCGACGTTGAGCATTATGCCACAAAATGCGCTCTGGTGCTGTAATTGGAAAACGCACATGGTATACACGTTTTTTAAATCAAAGATTTATGACAAAAAATTGCTACCAAGTGTTGTCACCTACCAATTACCATGCAACGGGTAGTTTTTTAAATATGCGGTACGGGAAAAGATTGTGCGCACCGTTTTTTTTATCTTTTTCGTGATCTGTATTCTGCGTCATGATCAACAATTCAACATTAGAAATATCATTGACAATTTTCAGTTCACCATTGAGTAACGACAAACAGCCTTTGCGTTACGATTACATTGACATTGACAGTTATTTGTTGATACTTTTAACTTTTAGGTTTGCCTATAATTAATAAGTTTTCTTTTAGCTTATGATTTAGGAATATTAAGTAACGTTAAAATTAGTCATATTGTATTAATTTGGATTTATTAGTGCATTCTTAGTACCTCATTAAACATTATATTTTTTGAACAGAAAATTAGTGAATAATCCTTACCTAATTAATAAGGTTGTGTACCACATTCTATTTTACTTTCGCATATTGTTAATCGTCAGGGTTCAGTGAATTGTGGTACGTGCAATAATTTAAACAACGTGAAAGCGGCATGAGAGGATCCGAAACATTGATTCCAGCACGGTTTCTCACTCTCCTGGGACACTTGTGCGTGCTGGTGACTCTATTATGGGAGAGCAAACAGAGCGTTCGTCACTGTTTGCCGAGCCAATATCACGAGACATTCTTGCCGATATATCACAGCCGGTAAGCTAAAGTACTAAATGTACTATCTAACGTACTCGACGCGACAGTTTTATATTAAATAACAACACAAAAAGTTATTGGTTTCAATCAATCAATAACTTATATCAATATAACTGAAATTGGCATATTAAAAATATAAGTAATAAGTCCTGTTCGCTTCAATAAATTTATTTAGTATTAAAGTTTAGTGACACCAACTTTAAATATTTGTCAATATTATTAGTAATGTTTTTAATAATAAATTGTACAAAGTGTTCTGGAAATTTAAGTATATGCAATTACTATAAAACTGACATTTAATATAGTGTACAATTAATTTTCTATTTGTAAAAAAATTAAAAATAACTGTAATTTGATTCAGCATGAATTAATTAATTGTTTTTTTGGTTAATATTGTAAAGGATATTTAGCATAACTAACTAAAATACACAGGGATGCTTCTCTTGATATTCCTACAATACTTTATAACATAATTTCTAATAAATGCATCCATTCATCATCAATAAATTAAGTCCTAATAGAAGATTGTGAGACAATTATTATCATTTAATTAGTATAGCAAAGTATGTTTATTGTATTTATAGAGCTTATTAAGATAATTAATCTTTATAGTATCATAAAATTATATCTAATAAGCAACATTAAAAGATTAATTTTCACATTCAATAATAATTGTAACCCTGTTGGGGTTAGGTATTTAAAAATAGTAGACTCAGCCGAAAGCACACAATAGACAAGAAAGAATATTAATGTTAGTAAAATAATTTTTTTATATTTACTTTTCGAGAGTGCTTATTTTTAGTAGGACTTTCGATGTAGGATAGCATTTATCATATATATAGATATTAGTAAAGTATCAAACACAACCACCTTTTTGTCACCCCTATGACCAGTTAATTGCAGTAATATTCACATTCAGGTGTTTACAAAACATGCGGTATTAATGCATGGATCAGTGGGTACAATAGTAGTGTGGTTTCATATTCCCATCGGTATGCCGATGTCTAACACGTGAGCGCCTCACGTGTTTAATTGATTTTAAGACATTTATGAATATTAATTTGAAAAATCTCAGTTAGTCTTCTTGGGGTCATCGCCCCCCAGACAAGTATTTTTTTTTTAAGTAAAAGCGAAAT